AGCCAAAGTAGTTTCAAGAAGCAGAAACTCAACACAGAGAATGGGTAAATTTTAAAGATGAAAGAGTAAAGGGACCCTGCGACCATAAAGTTGAGCACAGGTGCTCTAGAAAATACAAAGATGTAAAATACAGACATGGTCACAGGGCCCAGACATGGTCACCTGGGCTCCCGCTCCATAGCACCAATGCATTCTAACTGCAGCAGCAGTGGCCACAGCTAGGGCCTTCAGCAGCATTAGGGGCAAGTACAGCTGGCTCCAGCTCTGAGGCTACAGAACAGTTTACTGACCTCTGGGTAATCCTCTTCTCTAGTCCTTCTGACATTTTGTAACAATTTCCTAAGATTAAGTCTTTCCCTATTTTAAACAGTGATTTCTGATTTTCTAATTAGAAAGCATAGTTTCTAACCAGCAACCCATTGTCCCAAGAAATTGTTCCTCAAAGATGGAAATGTGAATTTGATATACTCAGGTGATCTTTGATTATTTTAAACTATGTTACTACTACATGTACTTGCCATTTTCTACAGTAATAAGGGCATCCTGGAGTTCAAGCTCAATTAGGTAAGAGAACCAAGTCAGCTTCTAAAAGGTGCTTCTGCTATTAGAAACCTACTACTGTTGTAACCGTGCTGCTGTAGAAGCCAAGCAGGAATCCAGAAGCCCGTACACCACTGTAGCTACTGTTTCCACCTGTTCCCGACTTTCTACTTTACTTTCCCTACCATTTAAAAGTACAAAGAGTAGAAAAGGGGTTGTCAGCCAGTAGTAATTAACAAGATCTGTACCAGAGATGTTCCCATGAAAGAAAAGTTGTTTTATTTTGAGAGATTAGGGTTAAAGAAAGGCATATTCAATAGGTAAAATTAAAAGCTGGGATAAAAAGATATTTTGCTGCAAGCTAATACAAACAAGATGGAAATGGGAATCTACAGGGCCAACGAGATGGAAGTAAATAAACGAGTAAATAAACGATGCAGGTAAATAAACATGAAGTATGAGGTGCATTTAGGAAAATATGCCTATTTCAAAGATATACTGTAATAAAACTGTATACAGATCAATCTTAAGACAATATTTAAAATGCATTTTAAAAGTGAAAAATTATATGCTTTATGGAAACAAGTGTACTTAACTCTAAGAGGTTTTTAAAGAATTAAACATACTGTATAAAATATTAATTTATGGCTCATTGCCCATAGCACAGTGGTTACGGCGCCAGCCACATGCACTGAGGTTGGCGGGTTCAAACCTAGCCCAGGCCAGGTAAACATGACAACTGCAACAAAAAAATAGCTGGGCATTGTAGCAAGTGCCTGTAGTCCCAGCTACTTGGGAGGCTGAGGCAAGAGAATCGCTTATGCCCCAAGAGTTTGAGGTTGCTGTGAGCTGTGACTCCATGGCACTCTACCAAGGGCAACATAGTGAGACTCTGTCTCAAGAAATAATATATTAATGTACAAAGTCTTTATTAACACTATTAAGTTACCTAACCCAACCATTTTACAACTTGATTATAAGTGACCACAAAAATTAATACATTACCATGATCTAGAAGAGTGAAACTTAACTTCTCCCCATTTCTCTCTCTCTCTCTCTTTTTTTTTTTTTGGCTGGGGCTGAGTTTGAACCTGCCACCTCCGGCATATGGGGCTGGTGCTCTACTCCTTTGAGCCACAGGCGCCGCTGCCACTCTCCTCATCTCTTTTAAGTGATTTACAAGGTAAAGTAGACTCTTACCAAGTGCACTTGTTGCATCTTCAAAAAGGTTCGACCGAGAGGAATCTCCTGATGTACTGTAAAAGGTTTTAGAAAAATCACATTTTCAAAAAGTATGTAGAATTTAATTTACATTAGTTTAGTAAATGTTCAATTTGTAAAGAGATTCTTTGATTTTAATTATGTATAAAAGTCCAGCTATAGCATCTAAACAGTCTCTTGTAGATTAAATTCAGAAATTTTATTTGTATTATGGTTTGGGGAACATTTTCAATCTTAGTATTCCTTCTGTTCTGAGAATCCATAATTTTAAATGTCCAAGGATTAAAAATGACATGCTTACAGATAGCTTACTATCTATCTAAAGATACAAATACAAAAAAGATAATGAATAATTATTTCCTTAAAAGAATACACATGAGAAGTAATTTATAAATTAAGGCACAGCAAAAGCAGTACACAAAAAGAAATAATGTATATAGAAACCAAATTAGGCTGTAAAGTCTTTACATGATAAGATTTCAGGTAAGTTTTAAATGAGAAATTTAAAAAAAGATAAATAAATAATATAGCATATGCAAAAAAGGCAGAGGTGGGATAAATCCTAGCTCTAATGTAAAGGAAACTAGTTTAAAAAGACTAAATATCAGCTTGGCGCCTGTGGCTCAAGCAGCTAAGGGGCCAGCCACATACACCTAAGGTGGCGGGTTCGAATCCCCAGCCCGGGCCCGCCAAACAATGACGGCTGCAACCAAAAAATGGCCAGGCATTGTGGCGGGTGCCTGTGGTCCCAGCTACTTGGGAGGCTGAGGCAGGAGACTCGCTTGAGCCCAGGAGTTGGAGGTTGCTGTGAGTGTGATGCCATGGCACTCTACCCAGGGGTTCCGTCTCAAAAAAAAAAAAAAGAAAAAAAAAAATAGACTAAATGTCTTTTGGGGGCTGCAGGAGTCTGGAATAAAAAATGGACAAACAAAATATTATGAAAGGCCATAAAGGGTAGGCCAAAGAAAAATAAACTGAAGCTTACAAAAGCAGTAAGGGCAGTAGTTAGAAGTTTAAATTAACACACACACACACACACTCTCTCTCTCTACCTCTGTCCCAATTTTAAAAACAAAAACACATTTTATTTCAGTTCTGAGAAAGTCCTCTGTGGATAGGAAGAGAACCAAGTCTGAATTCACAGATTACTTATACTTTCTAAGTCTCAGTTTCTTCATCAATACAAGGTTGATGATAGTATCCTACCCCAAAATGTTGTGTGGAGTTACTGCTAGAGTCAGCAAATGCCTGGCATTGTACACCCAATATGATTATTATAAGTAAAACTACCACACGGAGAAGGTAAAATCTCAAAAAGAACAATATATAAAAACAAAATAACTTTTCTATCAAGCCCCTATCTAGAAACAACCATTTACTATACCAGTTCTATTTAAAAGAACAAGAACTTGTATCTTTAAAACTTGTGGGTTTTTTTTTTTTTTTGAGACAGAGTCTCAATATGACCAATATGTCACCCTAGCTAGAGTGCCATTGCATCACAGCTTACAGCAACCTCAAACTCTTGGGCTCAAGTGATTCTCCGGCCTCAGCCTTCCAAGCAGCTGGGACTACAGGAACCCACCACAATGCCTGACTATTTTTTTTGTTGTAGTTGTCATTATCGTTTAGCAGGCCTGGGCTAGGTTCAAACCCCCTAGCCCGGGTGTATGTGGCCAGTGCCCTAACTACTGAGTTAAGGGCACCGAGCCTAAAAGCTGTGTTTATTTAATTTAACAATTATGCCACATTAGCACAATCAAATCTACTTTGATTTTTTTCCCCACAGATGAACCAAATCAAGCTCATATTAAAGTTTGTGAAGTGTAGTTTCCAACTTTGTAACATTTTATAATTAAATTTATCAATCTTTCCTGTTGCAACTTTGTCATCTTGCAGCGTACAGTATAAGAGATCCATCCTTTTTCATTCCAGATGGTGAAACGTTTATCCCAACAGCATTTTCTCCACAATGGTCTAAAATCACATCTTTATCTTATATTAAGTTCCTGTCCTATTTGGGTTAATTTCTTTACTATTTCCCTGAAAAACCTAATAGGATCCATTCCAAACTGTTTTAATCACTGCAGTGTATAATACATTTTAAAATCCAGTAGGGCTAGCCCCCTTAAAATAATTTGCACTATTTTCACACATTGTTTTAAAAACCCTAAAAATGAAAGATCATGACCATATTCTTTTCCTTTCTTTCTTTTTTTTGGGGGGGGGGGAGACCGAGTTTTACTTTGTCACCCTTAGTGGAGTGCTATGGCATCACAGCTCACAGCAACCTCAAACTCTTAGGCTTAAGTGATTCTCTTGCCTCAGCCTCCTAAGTATCTGGGACTACAGGCGTCTGCCACAATGCCCAGCTATTTTTTTAGACATGAGGTCTAGCACCTTTGAGCTCAGGCAATCCACCTGCCTTAGCCTCTCAGAGTGTTAGGATTACAGGCATGAGGCACTGTGCCTGGCTGACTACATTCTTTCTGATCATTGTTATAAATAAATACCCTCCCATGTTAGTATTTCCAGTCAGTTTCTTATTATGAGTATTTCTGATTCCAAAGATCACATAATTATCACCACTGAGGTCTTGATTTGCACTAAGTCACAAACATAGCACCAGAGCCAGTGAAGGTTGGCTATCATATGACTCATGCTCTTCCACAAAAGGGATTGTTCTGTATAATTTCTAGCTAAAAAATCCTTACTAAAGCATTTACTTTGGCCATTTTATTTGATCAGTGAGGAGGGGAAAAAAAATTCTCAATTAAACTACTCAATAAGCTTATAACTGCCAATTTCCCGTAAGAATTATTTCTCACTCCCAAAATATTACAGCACTTTTTTCCTTTTTCCTCTAAGATCTAAACAAGCAAAAACTTAAGTTTCTACACACACGGGTTCATAAAGATAGGTGTTAACAGTGAGAAACTGAAATAATTCAAGAGTTTAACAAAAGGTGTTAGGTGAAATAACCATTGCTGACTCTTACTAAGCAGTAACTATGTACCATGTGCTATTCTAAACATTTGTCATTTAATATTTCATTTAATCCTTATAGCAACTTTGTGAGATACGTCCTACTGTAGTCCACATTTTACAGATGAGGAAAAACCTCAAAGATGTTGAGTACTCTTCTTAAGTTACAAGAGCTAGCTAATGTCAGTCAGAAACAGACACAATGCCATGTCAGCAACTGGAAATATTAACTGACATGGAAAGATGATTATGATATATAATGTCCAAAAAAGAAAGCAGATCAAATACAAATAATAATTTGGGTGGCAATGTAGTTATTTTATAATTCTTTCTCTTTCTGCCATTTATATTTCCTAATGTTTCTACTCAAAACGAATAACTACTGTGATACATGGGAGGGGGATCAATACAGAGTATAAAAATCTCAATTTGGGAAATTAGGACTTATAGTCTCCCTAGTAAACTATCAAAATTGACTCATACAGCATGTGTTTCAAAGTTTAGAAAAAGCTTAACATGGAAGATTAAAAATTCAGTTTGTTCAAAACAATAATAAAAATAAATACACACTTGAACTTCTCGTTAAATACATAGTTTGAGATAAAACTTCCTGGAAGGCAGTTCTTACCTATCAGTTGGTGTTGGGCTGGTAGCCACTGGCGTCTCTGCTGGCTTTTCTGCAGGTTTCTCTTGTTTAGTTGCACTAGCAGGTGCAGGTTCGGGAGATGTTGTTGTTGATGCTGGAGTAACAGATACAGGCGTAGAAGCAGGAGCCGGGGCAGGGGTTGGGGCCTGAGCCACAGTTGTTGCTGTGGAGGAAGTAACTGGTGTGGTGGTGACAGGATTTGATTGCTGAGCTGCAGCTGCAGCTGGTGCTGGTGTTGATACTGCTTTGGGCTGAACACATTAAAAGCAAAATAATTACAATAAAAACTACATGTTACCTTACCCGTTCTTTAATTAGAGGATGACACAAACAAACATAACCCCAATATGATCATGTTTAACTTGAAAATAACTTTATGAAATGAAGTAACAAATGACTGATATCAGCAACCTGAATCACCGTTACTCTCAAAGCTCATGAGCATGTTATCTCAACTATTAACCTCAATTAGCTTTACCCAACAACTTCAGTCTTTGTATCAAGTTAATATGAAAAAGAACCAAAAGACAGTATTTTTTTTTTTTTT